AACTATTCTGAATTACTGTATCCAAACGCCCATCAAATAAATGGCAGCGACTATGCCTACTGTAAGCCTCGACTCGGCCCAGTATTCAGCCCAGAAACACAGACGTACCCGCCCCCTCCCGTTGCTCCACCCATTCCCCATAGCTCCACCCCCTCCCATAGATGCTTCCTTCTCTTACCCCCCCCCCATAGCTCCATCTCCCCCTTACCCCCCCCCCAATAGACGCATATATATATATATATCTCCCCCTCCCTCCTCACACCCATAGACTCCCAATCCCCCTCCCCCTCCCCCACACACACTGAAGGAACTCGTGCATGACTTGAGGTTACCAAATTCTGCCACATAAAAAAACTCCCATCTTATTTTCTTACGTCGCGTATCACCGTTCTGTCGAAATTGGATGTTCTCGTAACGACGTTTGGCGAGTTTTTTTTTTCTTTAGTTTGTGAGAATTGAAGTTTGTTGAAGAAATATTTTTATATATATATATTTAGTCTATATATGTTTGTCTGCTACTCGCTACATGTAGAGATATGGAGTATAACTTATGTGTCTGTTTATCCGTATCTGTATAATCTGCTATTCATTCATTCATTCAACCTTCCCTCCCACCCTCCCCCGTTTACTCCCTCCCTCCCTGCCTCCCCCCCCCCCCCTCTCTCTCTCTCTCTCTCTCTCTCTCTCTCTCTCTCTCTCTCTCTCTCTCTCTCTCTCTCTCTCTCTCTCTCTCTCTCTCTCTCTCTCTCTCTCTCTCTCTCCCTGCCTCCCTCCCTCCTCCTCTCCCTCTCCTCTCTGTCTGTCTGTCCGTCCGTCCGTCCATCCACCCATCCACCCATCCATCCAACCCTTACCCCTCCCTCCCTCTCTCCTCCCTCCCTCTCCCCTTCCTCCCTCCCTCCTCCCTCCCTCTCTCCTCCCTCCCTCACCCTTCCTCCCTCTCTCCTCCCGCCCTCTCTCCTCCCTCCCTCCCTCACCCCTTCCTCCCTCTCTCCTCCTTCCCTAACTCCTCCCTCCCTCTCTCCTCCCTCCCTCACCCCTTCCTCCCTCTCTCCTCCCTCCCTCTCCCCTCCCTCCTCTCCCCTCCCTCCCTCACCCCTCCCTCCCTCTCTCCTCCTTTCCTCTCTCCTCCCTCCCTCACCCCTTCCTCCCTCTCTCCTCCCTCCCTCTCCCCTCCCTCCCTCTCCCCTCCCTCCCTCACCCCTTCCTCCCTCTCTCCTCCCTCCCTCTCTCCTCCCTCCCTCTCTCCCTCCTCCCTCACCCCTTCCTCCCTCTCTCCTCCCTCCCTCTCTCCTCCCTCCCTCACCCCTTCCTCCCTCTCTCCTCCCTCCCTCTCTCCCTCCCTCCCTCACCCCTTCCCTCCCTCTCTCCTCCCTCCCTCACCCTTCCTCCCTCTCTCCTCCCTCCCTCTCTCCTCCCTCCCTCACCCTTCCTCCCTCTCTCCTCCCTCCCTCTCCCCTCCCTCCTCATCCCTCCTCCCTCTCTCCTCCTTCCCTAACTCCTCCCTCCCTCTCCCCTCCCTCCTCACTCCTTCCTCCCTCCTCCCTCCTCTCTCCTCCCTCCCCTCTCTCCTCCCTCCTCTCTCCTCCCTCCCTCTCTCCTCCCTCCCTCTCTCCTCCCTCCCTCTCTCCTCCCTCCCTCTCTCCTCCCTCCCTCTCTCCTCCCTCCCTCTCTCCTCCCTCCCTCTCTCCTCCCTCCCTCTCTCCTCCCTCCCTCTCTCCTCCCTCCCTCTCTCCTCCCTCCCTCTCTCCTCCCTCCCTCTCCCCTCCCTCCCTCCCCTCCCTCTCCTCCCTCCCTCTCTCCTCCCTCCCTCTCTCCTCCCTCCCTCTCTCCTCCCTCCCTCTCTCCTCCCTCCCTTCCTCCTCCCTCCCTCTCTCCTCCCTCCCTCTCTCCTCCCTCCCTCTCTCCTCCCTCCCTCTCTCCTCCCTCCCTCTCTCCTCCCTCCCTCTCTCCTCCCTCCCTCTCTCCTCCCTCCCTCTCTCCTCCCTCCCTCTCTCCTCCCTCCCTCTCCCCTCCCTCCCACCGAGTAAGGCTTCACATGCGACTATATACTCGAATATGACATAATTCCAGATGCTGTATTGGCTGCTCTTCCCCGCTGGTCCCCTTTGTTCCTGCCCTCTTTCCCTCTCCTCTTTGTCGTTCTCTTTCTTTCTCTCTTTCTCTCTTTCTCTCTGTCTCTGTCTATCTTTCTCTCTGTCTGTCTAGCATCCGATTGTGGATCCACGGCAGTAGGTGATGGTCGAGAGGGGAGGGGGCAAGGGTGGAGGGGGAGGGGGCAAGGGTGGAGGGGGAGGGGACAAGAGTGGAGGGGGAGGGGGATGGGTGGGGGAGGGAAAGGGAGAGGGGTAAGGGTGGAGGGGGATGGGTGGGGGAGGTGCTTGATCTTGATTGTTCTTTGTTATTCATTATTTGTTGCAGTTTTGCCCTCTTTTTTTGCTCTTACGGTTTAATTTTTGTTGTTGTTGGTATTGATCGTATTCTTAGGGAAAGGAAAGAAAGGAGGTAAAAAGAGGAGGAAGAGGAATGGAAAGGAGAGAAGAAAGGAAGGAAGGAAGAGAGGGCGGAAGGGGAGACTGGGGGATGGAGAAAGAAATGAAGGATGAGGGTGAAAGGAAGACGAAGAAAAGGAGTAAAAACATCACTGCTATGACTGCACTCCGCCATCACCGAATTCGTATGATATCGTAATAATTGTAATATTATACTTCTTAATAGTATTCTTTCAAGATAAATTAATGTATTTTTATTGATCAATCGACTGTTATCTAGCGATGTCAGGCAAGAACAAAGAAACAAGGACACTAGACAAATGATAACGGACATATATAGTGTAGGCCGATTAGTGCGTCTTGGCTGACTTATAATTATGACTACTTGGGAATGAGTAATAAAGATGCCGTAGAAATGCGAGAGAAAGAGAACTAGAAAAATGAAGAGAGAGACGCAGACATCAGCACAGCCATTGACAGAAACAGATAAATAATGAAGGCAAGATGGATGAGGCTAATAAAAAAACAATACGTATCGACAGAAAGAGAGAAATTTTACGGAAAAAAAAACATTGGTAGAAACCCGAAGTCGAAACCGGTAGAGAGACAATTACCTCGCACGCTCCCAACCGTGTAATTCTTTTTAGATCCGCCAGTCAGTGCTATGAAACAACGGAGGCAAATCTGGTTGAATCTTCTTTAAAATGTTTCTCTAATTGTGTTTCTAGCATTCTCTCTCTCTGTTTTTTTGTTTTTGTTTTGTTGTTGTTTCTCTTCTCTTCTCCTTTCTTCCTTTCTTTTCTTTTCTCTTATTATATTTCTTCCTCTCTTCTTTTCTCTCTCCGCCCCCCTCCTTGTTGCCTTCCCTCTTTCTTTCTTGCTTCCCTCTTTCTTTCTTGCTTCCCTCTCCCTTGTCCCTCTCTTTCCATCACTCCCTTTTCCTCTGTCCCTCTATTTCTTGCTTACTTCCTCCCTCTCCCTCTGTCCCTCGATTTCTTGCCCACTCCCTCCTCTCCCTCTATCATTCTTTCTTGCCCACTCCTCCTACCTCTCTATTCCTTCCATTCCCTCCATCTGTATCCCTCCCATCCCCTCCCTTCTTCCCCATCCCTCATTATTCCTCCCTTCCTCCCTCCCTCCCTCCCTCCCTTCCTTCCTTCCTGTCTATCCATTTCTCCCTCTGCCCCCCCTTCCCTCTGACTATCCATTTCTCCCTCTGTCCCTCCTTCCCTCTCTATCCCTCCCTCCCTCCCTCCCTCTGACTATCCATTTCTCCCTCTGTCCCTCCTTCCCTCCCTATCCCTCCCTCCCTCCCTCCCTCCCTCTGTCTATCCATTTCTCCCTCTGTCCCTCCTTCCCTCCCTATCCCTCCCTCCCTCCCATTCTTCTCCTTTCCTCAATGAATGCCTGTCTGTGGCGGCAGATGGACGGTTGATTGGCATCTGCGCTAGTTAAGAGCGGTTGCAACCACGTTTTCCAACACCTTCTGTCACTCGTGTTATGCACGACTTCTTCCATTGTTTGCCAGAGTCGTTGTTAGAGTAGTGTCGTGTTTATATATTTTCTTTTTATTTGTAATTTGTCTCTTCCTTTGTCATTTTTTTGTTTTTGTTTTGTTGTTGTTTCTCTTCTCTTCTCCTTTCTTCCTTTCTTTTCTTTTCTCTTATTATATTTCTTCCTCTCTTCTTTTCTCTCTCTTCTCTCTCTCCGCCCCCCTCCTTGTTGCCTTCCCTCTTTCTTTCTTACTTCCCTCTCCCTTGTCCCTCTCTTTCCATCACTCCCTCTTCCTCTGTCCCTCTATTTCTTGCTTACTTCCTCCCTCTCCCTCTGTCCCTCTATTTCTTGCCCACTCCCTCCTCTCCCTCTATCATTCTTTCTTGCCCACTCCTCCTACCTCTCTATTCCTTCCATTCCCTCCATCTGTATCCCTCCCATCCCCTCCCTTCTTCCCCATCCCTCATTATTCCTCCCTCCGTCCCTCTCTCCCTCCCTTCCTTCCTGTCTATCCATTTCTCCCTCTGTCCCCCCTTCCCTCTGACTATCCATATCTCCCTCTGTCCCTCCTTCCCTCTCTATCCCTCCCTCCCTCCCTCCCTCTGACTATCCATTTCTCCCTCTGTCCCTCCTTCCCTCTTTATCCCTCCCTCTCTCCCATTCTTCTCCTTTCCTCAATGAATGCCTGTCTGTGGCGGCAGATGGACGGTTGATTGGCATCTGCGCTAGTTAAGAGCGGTTGCAACCACGTTTTCCAACACCTTCTGTCACTCGTGTTATGCACGACTTCTTCCATTGTTTGCCAGAGTCGTTGTTAGAGTAGTGTCGTGTTTATATATTTTCTTTTTATTTGTAATTTGTCTCTTCCTTTGCCATTTTTTTGTTTGTTTGTTTGCTTTGTAACTTTTGTTTCATGCACATTATATTGCTCTCTTGTATGAGTATCTTGTTTTCCATTTCGTTGTTATGTTGCATGTTTAACGGTAGTTTTATTTTTGCACGGTTGCCTTGCAGTTAAGTGTGATTGGCTGGCCGCGTGGTGACGTATCGTGACGTCAGCGATGAGTCACTTGCGATTGGCTGGAGCCATTGCGGTACTCCCACCCCTACCTGAGCACAGATTACAGGTAAGTACTGTGTATGCATCAATGGCTCGTCGTCTCGTTTCACGCCAGATTGTGTTGCATGCTTCCTTTTTACTTCTTTAACAAAGTTCCTGTGAAAAGTATGTCTGTAGATTGCAATTAGACTGAGTATCAATTCGTTGCTTTTCTTTTTTCTTTTTTTCTTTTTTTTTGTAAGTAATTACGTTAAAGTTTGTACCCCTCCTGACTGTGATGTATTGCTGGCGATCATGATGAGTGTCGAGTGCATTCTTAACGCGCAAATGACCGCTGGATTAAATAATGGGAGCTCTATTATCCAAATCGCCCGAGCAGAAAATGGACAAGCCATAACGGTAGATCGGTTTAAATGCCGTCGCCACTTCCAGCGGACATGCGGTCAATCGGTCATGCGGTGCCAGCATTGATCCTGTCATGTCAGGTCTCCGGCTAGCGTGAGGATGGCGTGAGGCAAGGGCTATATAGTCCTTGGCGTGAAGTTTGCGTTGGTCCAGAGGGAATATCGAGGAGGAATGAGAATATGGATGGGGCGAGGGGAGGAGGGAAGTGTGTGTGTGTGTGTGTGTGTGTGTGTGTGTGTGAGAGAGAGAGAGAGAGAGAGAGAGAGAGAGAGAGAGAGAGAGAAAGATGTAAATTTTGCTCTGAAATTGATATTTATTTTGTAGTCCCCTCCACCATGTGTTTTTGTGATTTGTAACTGATATATATTTTCAGTTTCTATCTTTACCTCTTGTTTCATTTTCGCAGATTAATTATATATATATATATATATATATATATATATATATATATATATATATATATATATATATATATATGTATATATATATATATATATATATGTATATGTATATATATATATATATATATATATATATATATATATATATATATATATATATAATGTAAATCATGTCGAGTGGCGTGACTAAGATATTTGCGAAAAATCCCAATATCCACTGTAAATAATAAATGACTAGAAATTAATTAGAGGATAGAATAGAGGAGAGGAGAGGAGGAATGGGAAACAAGTGCATGGAGGAAAGAGAATAACAATAAAGATTTAACAGGCCTTGAAAGCATATATTTTGACGTAACTCGTAGTTTTATGCGAATGTGATGTTGTGATACCAAGGACGGGCGGGTCGTGTTTGTGTACGTTGCTTAAGTATAATTGTATTTTCTTGGTACAGAGAATGGTTGAGGAGTATTTGCATTTATCGTTAGTGCATTTATCTGCATTTATTTTGTAATTAAACTGTCTGTATTGCGGAATTTACGGCATTCGCTTAGTCTTGCATGAGGGTTAGTACTCGAGTTTTTTATTCTAGTACTATTTTTGTGTTTTTGGTTCTATCCTACATACACATATCCATGATCGTCTTTCGCTATATTTTTTCAGCCATTCTCCAGCGAGCATGGCTATCCGTACATCTCCTAGATATGTGTTATGTGTCATTTGTTTGTCTTATGCTTCATGCCAATATGTTTGCATCTGTCTGTTTTAGTGCTTCCATATAAACCTGGTACAGATTTAGCGCATTGGGAAGCAGTTTTCAAGACTGTTTGTTAAAGGTGAAGGAACGGTTTGGAAAACATCCATTACTTCGCCATTGTTTTATGTCAGTTAATTTCTAGTTCTTTTGTTTACATCTACTTGTCTCTTTCTATTTAACGTATTTGCCCATTTGTATTATAATTCGGCTTCTACGTTTTCTGTTCGTTCGTTCTTTTAGGATCCCATTCTAACACCGCTATTGTCCTTATTATTATCATTACTGTTATTATAAATATTGTTAACGTTGTTATTGTTGTTATACGAGGCACGTACGCTGCACTGAAGTAGTTAGAGCGTCAATTTACGCGCATTTATTATTTACTCGACTATCCGAGGGGGAAGGAAGGCTGAGAAACTAAGAAGGAAGGTAGGAGGAGAAGGGGAAAGGAAGAGTGAGAAGAAAAAAGGCTTGAAGAGAAACGGTGGAAGGGAGGGGCAGGGAGTTTAAAGAAAAGGGGAGATGGGGAAAGGGGAACGGAAACGGACAGTACTAAAGAGGAAAGGAGGGGAAATCAGGGAGAGGGAACAGTGACGTAGCTAAGAGGGGAGCGAAGTAATCGACTGTTCCCCTCGCCCTCAACTTAATCCTTTGGCGCTGGATTATCCCCCCCCCCAAAAAAAAAAAAAAAAAAAAAAAAAATATTGTTTTGCCCCCAGACAACAACTGGTTTTAGGGTTGTGTTTAAAGTACAAACTCGTTATTTATCTCGCTTGTTATATTTTATTCGGAATTAAAATGTATAATCAATGAATTAAAAGATAAAAAGTGTTTGGTATGTGTCTTGTTGCCCCTAACTTTATGTCCTGGCTACGCCCCCCTGGGAAGGGAGAGGGGGATGGGGGAGGGAGCGAAGGAGGCGAAGGAGGCGGAGGAGTTCAAGAAGGAAGAGGAGGGAAGTGGGAAGGGGCAGATGTAGGGCTTAAAGTGGAGGAGTGAATTTAGGGAAGATTAGGGAGTGACGGGGGTGGGAGGGCGAGGATGGGAAAGGAAGATGGGAAAGGAAGATGGAAAGGAAAGGGAAGGGGAGAGGGAAAGAGGAGGCGAGAGGTAAAAGGAGGAGGGTGGCAGAGAGAGAGAGAGAGAGAGAGAGAGAGAGAGAGAGAGAGAGAGAGAGAGAGAGAGAGAGAGAGAGAGAGAGGAGACATACGGATTTATCTTTTTCATCCCGTGGAATTACCACCTGGCCCGCCAGTGTATATTGAATTTCCTATTCAAAAACTAACATATATGATATATATATATATATCTATATATATATATATTACATATATATATATATACATACATATATATATATATAAGATATATATATATAGATATATATATATATACATACATATATATATATATTATTATATATATATATACATATATAATATATATATACATACATATATATATATATATACATGTATATATATATATATCTCTATATATATATATACATATATAATATATATATATAGATATATATATATAGATATATATATAGATATATATATATATACTATATATATATATATAATTATATATATATATATTACATATATATATATATTTATATATATATATATTATATATATATATACATACATATATATGAGAGAGAGAGAGAGAGAGAGAGAGAAAGAGAGGAGACATACGGATTTATCTTTTTCATCCCGTGGAATTACCACCTGGCCCGCCAGTGTATATTGAATTTCCTATTCAAAAACTAACATATATGATATATATATTATCGATACATATTACATATATATTGTATGTACAAACATACAGTATATACGTAATGTACATTGTAGAATAACATATTCATCAAACGATTTAATCATGTTGAGCGTTATTTCTATATGTACATAAAAAACAAACAATTAAAAGTGTGGGCAGTTTGGTATTGTTACCCCTTAATGCAAGAAAATATTTATTTCGTTTTCTTTGGTTTGGAGTTGGGTAGAGAATGTGTTGGGGGAACTTTACTAAGCCCGTTTATTCCCAGATGTTAATGTTGCTTACATTGTATTTTGAAAAAGTTGGTACTGCAGATAATTTATCACACGAGCATTTTAAGAGAATGACCTAATCATGGATTATAAGTGTCTCAAGAAACTTAGACACTCGCAAATAAAACTTTATCGGCGAGACTCTCGCAAACTCGCAAGCCAAAACAATAACATGGCCGTGCTATTTATTTCTTTGTAACCTGTTTGTATCTACACCAAGAGATCGATCACGACTTGTTTCCTCTCTCATAATTTGTTGTTCGAGTGCCATATGCCATGACAGACGGACTTCTTGGCACTTGCGTGGGCGGTGAGTGCCTTGCGCGCGTGTGAAATAGGCTTTGTTTGATAATAGCTGATAGTTTATCGTGTCAACTTTGGCAATGCATTGTGGTGGCTGTTGGGAACGGAGCGCTAACATCCCGTCTTTTGTTTTGTGTTGACAGTCAAAACATTACGTCGATGTGATCTTGTTTATTCGGGACATTTACCTGCGCACCGTTTGGCAATTACGATGAACAACATATTGCGACATGGCGAAAGTGCCCCTCACTTTCCGTCGCTTTCATATCCTTGTCTCTTCTGTTTCGTTAATTTTCGTGTTGCTTTCTCCTCCTTTTCTCATCTACTTCTGCCTCCTTCCTATCTTCATTTCTTCTCTGCGCTTTGGCTTAGATCTTTATTTTGAGTCGACAAGTTCATTTAATCGATTTGTGATAAAATCAGTACTGATGATAATTTTTTCTCTCTCTCTGTATTAAAGACTAGTTTGATGTAATACCCGTTACAAGTCATAAGAAAATGAAGACACCAGGTCAGATTTCCATTACCGCCTTGCATTGCCTAAACACGACCCTGTGCCCGTGAGTGATAGTGATTGCACGGTGCAGGTCAGGCAGGAGCATTTTTTTATGCAATAGGAAATAAATATGTATGAAAGCATAATCAGCAGTATTTTCCCTTGTGTACCTCTATCAAATAATTATGTTTTCTTATGAATGCTTCCAAGTTAGGCCGATGAGGAAGGAGAACAAGTACACGACAGAGAGAGAGAAAAAATATGTTAACTCCCCCCAAAGCAGCTATGGTAATATGATCGCTGTAAAGACTGGTTTTGGGTGTAATGACTGGTCTCATTTGGGGGTTTAGAAATGAGTGATTGTGCCCGCGCCTCCTTGAAAGCGAGACGTGACTGGCGGGGCGCTGACGAGTGGAGTTTGCATGTTGCTGGGTCACCGCTGGTCCCGCCAAGTACGTCCATGGATTAGATAAGATAGCGGTGGCAGTAGCTCCCGAGTGCACCGTTTCCTTGTCGGGCATTTTAGAGCAGAAAGGGTGCTGTAGAAAGGGCAGGTGCGGGGTATTGGGTAGGGGTATCAGGCCCCCCCCTGTACTACTCCTCTCCTCTCCACGTTCCCCGGAGATAATAAGCTGATAGGGCGAT